GTTAATGCCTTAGCTTTTATTTCCAGCTTCAGGAGGATGAGCTGCAAGACGCAGTGCTGCTGCTCTTTGCGAACAAACAGGATTTGCCAAATGCGATGGCCATCAGTGAAATGACAGACAAACTGGGTCTTCAGTCTCTTCGTAACAGAACAGTGAGTATTTGAAGGTTGATGTTAACGTCCTGACTGTCAGGGTCACCAGCGTGATTGTTTGAATAATTGTAACTGTCAGTTTAGCACTGAATAGTTACCCGTTTTGTTTGGTCTTTTTGAGACAGGGTCTCGCGATGCACTTCAGGCTGGCCTTGAGCTCACTTTGTAGCCCAGGCTGGTCTCGAACTTGCAACAATCCTCCTGCCTCAGCCTCCCAAGTGCTGGGATTACAGGCGTATTCCACCATGCCTGGCTTTAGTTATCTCTTTTGAACAATAAGCACATCATTATAAGATTGTGGTACTCTAGGCTCTTGTGTGTTAGAAAATCAGCCTTTTGTCTTACTTGAAACCTTTGTAATGTTCTAAATTTTACTTTAAAATACACAGATATGTTTTTCATATTCTTTTAATATATTTTTTAAGAATTCAGAGGTTTAAATGCCTTTATTTAATTTGTTTTTTGTTAACTTCAATATTTTAAAGATGTGGGAAACTTGAGCAGAAGAGTTGGAATATGTGAAGAATGCTGATGTAAATCATTTACCTATTTGAATCCAGTACCATCTCTATCTGTTAAAATTAGAAGTTTGTTAAAGAATCTTGATGATGACAAGTTTTGAAGGCATTTTGAATGTAAAATTATTAGATGAATTTGCTGTTAAGTAGCTCATCGAGTTACATCAGTGATTGAGGGATTGGGAAAAGTTGGTACATTGTTGTGTATGTGGGGATGATTTCACAAATTAGTAGTAACGTGCGCTCTGTGTACAGTAGTTCTGCGTTAACTTGTCAGTGTGGCAGGTACTATTGTATGGCCTTTTGCTTTGTCTTTTGAGACAGGGTCTTCGTTTATTGTTCAGGCTCACCTTGAGCTCATTATATAGGCCAGGATGGTCTTGAACTCTCAGTGGTCCTCCTGCCTCAGCATCCCAGGTGTTGGGATTACATGCTTGCACCTCCATACCTGGCTCTTTGTTGAGATATTTGGGGTACTGAAATGAGATAAAATGCAGGTGATACAAGGGTCCCATACTGGGAAAGTACGAATTCATGGCTTTCCCCAGCCTTTTGGTGTACTTGGAGTGTTTGGTATTCAAATACTAACTAATTGGCATGGTTTATGTCCAGTGATGCTCCAACATTAAAGTGAGGCTTTTATTCTGACACAAAATAAAACTGATTAGTAAAACATGTGTAACAAAAATAGACTATTTAATAATAATTGAGGGGCTGGGGATTTAGCTCAATGGCACAGTGCCTGCCTGGCAAGCATAAGGTTGTGAGTTTGATTCCCCGTACTGGGAAAAAAAAAAATTGAATTGCATTTTAGTTTTTTTTTTTTTTTTTGCTACTTACAACTTTTCACTGCATTCCATCACAACTCTTATAGATAAGATTTCCTGCCATGTAAAAAGGAGAAACTTTTTCTTGGGAATTTTGAGACTAAATAGACAGTGGCATTATTTGTAAAGTTTGCCTCAAAATGTCTACAAGCCCAACTGTTTTATTTTGGTTTTGGTCTATTTTTTTTAAATTTTTCCTTTGCAGTGCTAGGGATGAAATTAGGGCTCTGCTTATGCTACTACACAAGCACTTTTCCACTGAGCTACATCCCTTACCCAGCAAATTCTGCTTTTCAGAAATTAGTCTTTTTTGGGCTGTAGGTATGGCTCAGTGTAGAGTGATATAATGTGTGAGACCCAGTGAATCAGCAGCACTGAAAAGAAAAAAATCACCTCTTCTGTTTAGGTTTATAGGGAATGATAGGACTGTAAGGACCAAGGTGGGTGGTTTGTTTGTTGCAGATTTCTCTTCATAATCAGTGGTGGGAAATTGGCTAAACCTAATGGACAGGACGGCATAGTTTTACATATGAGACAGGTTTTGTGAAAAACAAGAAGTTTCTAGTCTGAGGGGTAATTTCAAACCATCTTTATTACTACTGAAATCATAAACATAAACAGAAGCATATGTTCATGAGATGTAATAACATTTCCTCACAGGCATTTCTATGTTGTAATATCATTCTGTTTCCTTTTCAACCTACATTTGTTGTGGGAAATAATTAGATTTTGATTAAGAAAGTCTAAAGCACTGGTGGTGTGTGATCTTATTAACCAAGTGTTTTCTGGTCCTTTCTTCACAGTGGTACGTTCAAGCCACTTGTGCTACACAAGGAACGGGTCTGTATGAAGGACTGGACTGGCTGTCAAATGAGCTTTCAAAACGTTAAATGAAACCGGACATCTAACCTGGGACACGTCTGATAGAATTGGTCTAGGCTATTACGAGGCAATTAGTTTGCATTTTGTTATTAAACAGTATCTGGGACTGGTTTGGGCAGAATATCACAGCGTTTCAACTTATTTTGTTGCCAATTATTATTTACCAAGT